CCGATCCTTGAGGAGCCCCAAAAGTTATTTTAGAGCGTTTAAAGAAACTATTTAGACAATAAAGTCCAGAAACATGAAAGAAAACCCAGTTTAAGAAACAGCTTCAGAGAAAGAGAAATAAAATCATATTATTGGATTTAGACAATCAACACGTGAAGATTTCACTTAAAAATGGACGATTAGAGACTGTTTTATTTGATACATCTGATAAACCGAGCAGCTCAGTTGAATGCTGTTACATACAAATACTATTAATACTATGAATCCATGGCAATAGAAAGTTAAATAATTAACACGTAAAGTAAATATAAAATACATTTTTTTTTAAGAACTTAATTTATTTTCCTTTTCCGATCAAACTCCAAATCACTCGTCATCATCACACGTCATCGTTCATAACCAAACACTAACATGCAGTTAGCGGTTAGCGGTTAGCTTACCAGAAGCAGCACAGTGACACAGATGGCGAGTCCTCGTAAGTAACTCCTCCAGCGAGCCATGACTGTCGTCTGAGAGAGTCGAGCTAAAATAGAAACGGAGTAGAGACCAGAGCAGACTGTGTGTGTGTGGGTGTGTGTGTGTGTGTGTGTGTGTGTGTGTGTGTGAGAGAGAGAGCGAGAGAGAGATTGATGTTGTTTAAAGCTCAGGAGTGTTTTGCTGCAGAACGAAGAACATGACCAAGTTTGGAAGATCAGCTGGAGGGAAGACGAGAGAGAGGAGAGGGGAGAAAACAAGAAAAGGAGAGGAGAAGAGAGGAAACAGGAGAGTAAATGAGGGTGAAGGAGGAAACAAGAAAGGAAAAGAAATGAGAGAGGAGAGGAGGAAAGGAGAGGGGGAATGAGGAGAGAGGTTACTCCAGGTTACAGTTATATCTAATTAGGAAAGGAAGGAGGAAAGATTGGACGTGAGAAAAGAGAGACAAGAAAGTGAAAGTATGATGAAGATGAAAGAAGGAATAAGTGCAGCTGAGGAGTGAAGAAGAAGAACGTCTTTAATATAATAGTTTATGAAAGTTATGTATAAATAAACAGAATGCTTTACGGAACAGAAACAAGTTGAAGTCCGACATCCATTTTGCATTCGGCAGCAGACTCAACAAAGACGCCTCCTCATGAACTGCTCACTCCAGCTTCTACTGGTCTCCCAGTTATGCTTAGACAACCTCAGATCAGGTCGTATAGAAGTCTATGAGAAGATGACTCTACTTCTCTCTTGATTTATT